GCGTTGTCTCATTTTAGTTTAGTGGTGGCTTGAACCTGATTTCATTGAGGTAAGTCCTCACCAATGAAGAGTTCTAAAGGGAATGGCATATGCGTGGCTATTAGTTTCGTCTTGAGGGTTAAGTTACACTCACTCAAAGTTTGTTTGAATCAAGATTGCTCAGTGACGGCGGTGTTGCTCGGTGTTGCTGCTGAGAAGGCAGAAGCGGGGAGTCAGAGGGGGTGAGACATAGCTAGCCTGTTAAAGGGATCGTAGCGGAACAAGTGACACAGTCTGTATAGAGTACTCCAAAGAAGCTCTGGCACGGAAGAGGAGGAACAAAAACGGAAGTAGGAAATTCCAGTTTATTTGATAAGTATACGCTGGGCATGAGTTCCGCAGCGTATATTTCTCATTACAACTGGAATTCCTTACTTCCGTTTTTGTACTTCTTCCAGGCCAGAGCTTTTGAGGAGTACTCCATTCCATCCCGCTGACTGTTACGGGTGACCTTTCCTTGATCTGTTCTGTTAGGTGTGAAGAGCGTCCAGATCGTGTGTTCGTCAGAGGAACGCGGCTTCGATTCAGGTTCTGACCCTCCTCCCCTAGAGAGGAGTTCTGCCCGAAGCCCAACCAACTCTCGGCCTTTGCTGTTGACGGACTGCCCTCTGACGTGTTCAGCCCGACCAAGAGCACTTCCCACCTCACTTTGGTAAGAAACCAATCAACAAGTAGACACTTCAAGCAGGGCCATGTAGTGAAGAACAAGAAGTTCATGGACCGGATACAGGATATGAAATTGGCCTTTTCGGAGGATTTAATAAGTTTAAGTCAAATTTAGTCTAAAACTTACCTACCTTGAACTTCAGATTGAGAATAAACACTCGTCATCAAATTGAGTACTCCAAAGACGCTCTGGCCCGGAAGAAGAAGAACAATAACGGAAGTAAGAAATTGCAGTTTCTATGAGAAATATGCGCAGCGTATATTTCTCATAGATACTGCAATAATCTACTTCCGTTTTTGGTCTTCTTCTTCTTCCGGGCCAGAGCTTCTTAGGAGTGCTCTATAAGTAAACGTTCTTTGACAGCTGGTTCCAGCTTATGTTCTTCACTTCAGGCCTTGCTAGGTGTGCCTATTGTGAGTGTAGGGTTTATACAATCTGCTGATGAACCTGCAGTCCCGTGTTCATCTCGTTCATCAAAGAGGATCCGTACGTTGCCCGGGTTGTTAAACGAACCTCTGAACCGGAAGTCAAGGGCAAATGTATAAATCGAAACCGCCTCTGCGCATGAGCACAGCGGTTTTAGTTCCAACTTCTATGACTTCCGGTCCAGAGATTCTTTGAACCACCCTGACGAAACGTATTCTTCTCAGTTCTCGAGGGGCTAACGTCCAGTCTGGAAGTAGACATAGTGACTACAGCCAATCGGCAGATTCGTTAGCGAGACATCTACCCTTGTTCTGTTGTTATACCCTGCCGAATCTTAAAACTCAAAGTGCATGCTCCGCATAGGTAAACTGGCCCAAATTTTCGTACGTAGTTGTGACAACCGCTATCGACCTTCCGGGCCGATCATCTGAATCTTTCGAAGCTCCTCATGTATCCGGCCTTCCGATTGATTTAGTCTTGGTGTAACGTTCAGTCACCGTAGCTGCTCTCGTTCACATATTCAGAGTGCGCAACGGCACACACATTGACAAAAATTATAAACCACCAGGCAAGTAGCGTGTAATGTCTAAGCCACTTCTCCGTCGTGTTTATACATCCCTTCTGATCGGGAAGAAGGTACTCCAGAGCAGAGGAGGCCTGGACCGGAAGCACAGAGTCGCTAACTTTACCGGAAGCTCAGAGTCGCTAACTGTACCGGAAACTTAGAGGCGCTTAGAGGTTAACGTGCTTCTTTTAATGCGCCACAGTTTATTTACGTAGTGTAGCTTTCCGATTACGTGAAATAGGGTCCTTCGCAGAAGAAATAGAACGGAAGTTGCTAAGAATGAAGAAGAAAAAGGCATGCGCAGAGTACTCCAAAGAAGCTCTGGCCCGGAAGATGATCAAAAACGGAAGTAAGAAATTGCAGTTTCTATCAGAAGTTTACGTTGCGCATGAGGTCCGCGGCGTATATTTCTCATAGTAACTGCAATTACTTAATTCCTTTATAGTTCTTCTTCCGGGCCAGACCTTCTTTGAAGTACTCCTTATGAGAGAATGAGCGTCGTCTGCGTTACCGTTCTGCCGCTTCCGCAGTCATATCCTCACACAAGTTAGGTGTTTGTCTTTGATTTCTTTGCAACTTCCGGTCCAGCTCTTCGCCGAAGTCCCCTATTAACCCGATTGACCATTGGGGCCACGGCGCCACGCCTCGAACTCCGAACCTTTTTTTTGAATGAGTTCCTGACCAAGACAACGGCTCCTTGTTTCCGGTCCAGGCCTCTCTGTGGTATCCTATCGAGCCTTTTTTTACCGGTGGAGAAGCGGCTCGTGGCTTCCGACCCGGACATCCCCAGGAATATTATCAACCGCAGGCACTCAGTTTTATAAAGACCAAAGTATATCTGTGAGTTATTTCTTCAGGAACATATTCTTCAAGTATTGATCCTACGATTCAGGACTATATTTCGTATAAACATTTCCTCTGGTCGATTCCTCATTGCGGTGCTGCTTTTCCACTGAGCTTCTTCTCTACGTTAGTGTAGTTACGTCATAGAGTGCCTTTAGGACCCGTATCTTAACTATCCCTAGCTGGTTCCAGTTGTGATTTCAATGGGCATATGTATACATGCGCTCTCCTGTTACCACATAGTTACGTCCGGAGCTATTCCGATTTAGCTTTGATATCTTTCACGAACGGCAGAACACCTAAGTCGCCATTTCATGTGAACTTGCAGTTGGAAAGGCAAACCTTAAGCTCTGGTAGTTCGACTTAAGCCAACGGGTGTTTGTCTTCGCTTCTTTAATTGTTAACTTTTCTGAAGGCAAGATGCAAGGGTTCATCTCTCCGAAATCTCTCTCTTTGCCGAATTGGAACGAAAACTGGAGGGGGAAGCTCTGGCCTAGCCCTATCGGTCATTTAAAGTCGTCCTTTGGCCTCGTTTCCTGCCTGGAAAACACGGGGAACTGTTCGTCAAAAAAGGAAAGCAGGAAAATATCTAAAGAAACACCGGGGCATTTTACGTCGAACTATCGTGGTCCAAAACGTACTTGCTCAGATCCGGCCCCCAGTGTTTTCTATAATAGCCTATCGCCTTAGAAACAACCACTTAAATTTTTTATAGGGGAAAAATCAGAATTTTGCCCATAGTAATTTTTGGGAATTTCAAATAAAATTTCAAACCTTTTTATGAGTTGTTAAAAATTGTCCTTATTGGCGCTCAAATAGGCTGAAAACTGTTAGGGACGGCAACATAATCTGGTGAAAAACAAGTTTGGGACCCCAGCCTTTACCAAAGAGGACCTTTTTGACAAAATTCACCGATGTTTTAATTCCCTAAATACGTCACCTTACTTTTCGACCATGTTGGCATCAAAGGACCTGAAGAAGTGCACTAGCTGTCAGCAAAATATTGGGGATGGCAACCCATTAACACCTGAAATATTGTCAAAACAACCTTCAAAGGTATTTTGATTTTTCCCCAAAATTAACTAAATGGGACCGATATTGGTCCTGTGCGTTCAAATGTTTGCCTGGTGTCTGTCCTAACACTCTGGAACCATTTCGAGGTGAGGGTCAGCATTACAAGAATTTAGGCATTACATAGCAAGAAAACGTTGGCCTAGACTCTTGTAATGCTGACACCTCGAAATGGTTCCAGGAGTGTCAAGACAGACACTAGGATAACATTTCAATGCACGGGACCAATACAGGTGCCATTTAGTTAATTTTTGGGGAAACACCTAGATATCTTTGAGAGTTATTTGTCAATATCTGTAGTGTTTATGGATTGCCATCCTCAATAAATTGCTGACAGAGTACCCCGTATCACTCAACCAAAAATGTCCTGTAAATGCCGTTAATTTATTACCAGTTTTTACTGTAGGTCAATTCACAGCGTTTACTGTGATCTGCTCACGGGATTCACTGTGATCTTGTTCACGGTGTTCACTGTGATCTGATCCCCGGTAAACACTGTGAGTTTGACGCCACTGAGCACCGAAGTACTGCCAATCAGGCTCCAATTTACGGCGTTTACTGTGGCCAGATCACAGTGAACACTGTGGCCAGATCACAGCCCGGGTGGAAGGATCTGCAGTTAAAACTATATGACAAAACAGGAGTTTTTCTGTTGTGAAATGTATTGTTTTAAGTGAAAAAAAAATTAAAAAATCAAGAAGTTAAAAGTAACTTTTAAGAGAAAAAAAATTGTAGTTAAACTGTAGTCAACTGCAGTAAAACTGCAGTTTAACTATGCAAAAACTACCAGTTATTTGGAACAACTATAGTTTCTCCCTCATTTTCGTGCTAGTTAAACTGCAGTCAAACTGCAGTTCAACCTTAGTTTCGAACAACTTAAAAGCCATTTGAAATAACTAGAAAGAGAGTAGTTGCGGTTCAGTTTCCGAAAAGAGAGTGAAAATTCAAAATAGAGCCTCAGCCCTGTTTTCATTTTGCCACCTTAGGTGTTGTCACCCTTAGGTGTTACAGAGTGCAGTCACCTCCTCTCGGAGTTGATCACTCGTAAAAAATGTAGTTCGCATCGAGGACTGATGCACTTGAGGGCACAGCGATCGGTGCCTAATCAAACTACGACCCGTAGCCGTACGCGAGAGGAAAGTTGTACTCAAAGTTATTTCCCTAATATTCCACCTATCGAGGTCAATCCTTTTGTGGTAGAGTCATAGCATCTCAAATATTTGCCCTGCACAGAGTTTGATCCAAAAATATTCCTCTGATCGGCTGCAAGAACACTTTTAACTCGAAGACGTAAATGATGCGACACTAGCGCCACCTAGCGGATGATGCACTAAGTGTCCATTTTTGCGGTAGTCAATATGCTTTGCTCCAACTTCACTCAACGAAAGTGTTATTTAATACTACTAGCATGTAATATTATGTTTATTTTAAAAAGGGTATATGAAGGACTTAACAGAATTACTTTGATTTAAGATAAAAAAAAATAAAAACTCAGAATTTTTCTACATTTTTTAAACTACAAGCAATTTTAGAGTAATCCCATGTAAAGTTGTAGTCCTCTTCATGACAAACTTGCATTTTATGACCAATTTTAATTTTAAACTATCAGTATAAAAAATGTAAGCGCAAAATATTTTGGACCTTTGCGACAAGTCAGTTTACGTAAACTTGTCGCAGACTTAAGGTTACTTTGTCTCTTTAGGGAGGCTAACTTTAAAAAAGGGGAAACTTGCATAAATTTTTAAACAGCGAACAACTATACCATTTAAAGTAAAGCCAACTGTATTAGCTATAAACCATAAACGTTTGCTTTTAACCTGATACTTTTTTTAAAGGGAGACGACAAAAAATTCAACGTAAACCTCAACTGCTTTAAAAGCAATGAAACAGCCACTGTAATTTTGAGTTCCCCTAGTGGTATGTAACTTTTACTTGATACAACTAGAAGATTGCATAAGAAGTATGGAAACGTACTAGTTTTGAGACATAACTATCAACGTTAGTATGGTGATAAGAGAATATGTTTAAAATACATACTAAGTATGGAAACATACTAGATGAGAGACAGTTTTTGAATAATTATTTTCAGCAGTCGCTTTACTTCCAGAAATGGATATTAAGTAAATTGTAACTGAAACTTAAACTGAACCTCCAACTGAACTTCAAATCAACACTAAAACTACATTGTGAACTGACAGAAAACTACAATTTCAACTGCAAAGTGGAATTGTATTTAGTCTTCAGTTTCTTTTTAAAACTAACTTTAGTTCGGGAACTGCAGTTTTGGTACTGTAGTTGAAACTACAGTTTAACTAAAGATCCTTCCACCCGGGAGTGAACACTGTGACCGAGATCACAGTGAACGCCGTGAACTAGTTCACAGCAAACGCCGTGAATTGCATAACAGCAAACATTGGTAATAAATTAACGGCGTTGACAGAACATTTTTTGTAGAGTGTAAGGGTCCTTTGAAGCCTATACGGTCGAAAATAAGTATAACTTCGGTCTGGCCAATGGGTCTTTTTCACTTCCGGTTTTGGATATCTCATCTCCACCTCTCAGAGAATCCGTATCGTGACTCATTTTAAGCACAACAAGGGTATTTCGGAGAAGAGCTGGAACGAAAATCATGAAGAAGGGAAGTGAGACCGAGAATATACCTTCTAGAAGTGGTAGAACAGCGATCTATTTTCCACTTGCATTTCAGCTGTTCTCCGAAGTGCCCTCTTTAATATCTGTTAACTTGTCGTTTTCTTTGTTGCCACAGAACATGGCGGTGATCCAACGACTGAGCTGGCTCCCTCGCTTGGACCGGGGCTGCTGGTGCTGCCCTCTGGAGACGTTCTGTTTGGTCTTTGGGTACTTTTCTGTGGTGAGTACAGGGGGCCTTCTGAACACTGTTAGAAATTAGGTCCGAAATTCTGTGGAGAAAAACCCTACAACCACGTTCATGGAGACTATTCATTTTCCATCTTTTGTCGGAGAGCATTACTTGGGTCCTGATGGGAGGTAAAATGCATGTCTTTTCTCAGAGTTGTTAAAGAGGGCTTCGCCGAAGCATTCGTTAGTCTGAAATGGTCAAAGAAGAACAATCTCCTCCGAGCTCATTTTACTTCTATCCTGTAGGTTTCCCTAAATTTTATGAAAACTGGGCTAAACAAGTAGTGGTTCACCTTTCCCTCATTTTTTAACTGGTTGCCAACCTTTTTTTTTTTCGTGATTTCCTGATAGTGAAGCATGCATTTTTGTTCAAAATTCCGAAACTTTTCGGAGAAAGCCCGGAGTTTGCCTTTATGGAGAGCTCTATGCAGAGGTTTCGGAAAAACTCCATGATTTTTCTATTTTTTCTCGGAAATTTCTGACAGTGAGTTAGTTAAATGCTCAGTTAAGTTAACGATCCCTGGAAATGAAGCATTCACTGGACATTTCCCTATGCATTCAGAGAGGGGAAAACTTCGCGGATGAGCCCGTTACACTTTGTTTTAATGATTTGAGAACACACAACTGCTTTGTTTGCCTCTAGAATCTAGTTACCATTTCGAACCAGTCAAGTTCGCCTGATTCGTAACTGTTTTAGCAGGGTTATGTCAGCCACGTTTTAGCAAGGCAACAACGTTACTTGATAATCCGTAATGCGAACTAGGACTTCTTTCCATTCTGAATACTATTTTATGCAGCTGCCATCAAACGTTATTTTTTTGACAGAGATGGCCATAATTTTACTTTACAGTTATCTCAGAGGAAAGTTCCATTGCTCTCATTCAATGTTATGTCACAGTTTTTCTGTGCAGATGAACTCTTTGTACGATAAACTGCACTTAAAAGTACTTATGGACAGTATGTTTCCACAATACAGACAGTTTTGTGGGAAGACAGTTGATCCAGGAAGTGCACTCTCACTCCAGGAACGTGACATCACGTTGAAACGAACGTGACAAAATGTCCGTTCGTTTGAGCACTGTGCCACAATCGTTTGGGTGTGAATCGGCCAAAAATTAGCTTTTTCACTTTCAAAATAACGTGACATTCCTGGAATGAGTGTGTGGGTGAAATAAGGGAATAATTTGACTTCACGAGAAAAAAACTGAGTGTACAGCTTTCCAGATTGTTCTCGAATATGCAACTGTTCTTTTTCAGGTGACGAGCCTGGTCGTTATGGTGGCGATGTTAGTGGCCATCTCAGTCGGTACTCCTTACGATTGGGGCTTCCTGATCGTCGCTAGAGTGATTTTGGCCATGACTTTCGAGGGCTTCATCTGCTTCGTGCTCTCTGTCATCTGTATCATGGGAGTGCATCAGGTAATTATTTATTGTATTTCTTGCCAATGATGACAGTCCACGGGCATTCGAAGTGTGGACCAGTAAAGCGAAAAAGAGAGTGAACTCGGCGAACCTATACCTAAATTGAGTGTATATCTCGAAAAGTACCCAATATAAGATCTATCGCGCAAGATCAGGTTGATCTCTCACATGGTTTTATGGTTAAACGGGTGATAAATGGCTTGCTTTACTGATCCCTGACTCAAAATAGTTTTGTTGATATTTAAGAAGTGCTGTCACAGGGTTATATTCTTTTTTAAAATTAGTTCACTTGCACCAAAACTCCACCCAGTAGTTTTAACCGTGATCCTCCAACCGTTTATGAGTATTGAACTGCTTTCATGCCACAACTGTAGCCAGTGCACAATCTCTTATTTCTCAGAAATGCGTGAGATTTCAGGGTTCAAATCGTTCATGTGCGTCCTTAATTTAGAGAGGTACTGTTGATGTGCCCTAAGACAAGTTGAAGTCAGACTCTGTTGTACAGGGGGCATTCCATGACTACGGGGCCACTTTCGTAGGTGACCATCTCCGATCTTGATGCAATTTGGGTCACTTATAGTACCCCCCAAGAAAGAATTTTGTGCAAAATCTCAGTCGGATCGGACAAAAACTTCCGGAGATATCGAGGTTTTAGTGTTTTTTCAAAAATCACCTAAAATCTATTGAGGAAAATGACATGATATTACGTTTTGCATCGTGCCATCGTTAATATTTGAGCTACAGCAAAACACAGAGGTTCGTTGGAAGCGCAAAAGAATGGGGAATCAGAATATGTGATTGGATTTGAGATTCGAGTGCCCTACACTATGAAAATCTTGACAAATACAAAAAAACCCTAATTTTTTTTGCCAATGTTTAAGGCTCTGGGTAACGGACACCCACATCCAGAAAGTCAAATCTGAATAGCGCAAAATGTAGCCCAAACCTTTAACTTTCGATTGCTATGTAGAAAAAAGGTGGGTATGGGGGTCGTTTAGGCTGTGCAGCTTCTCGAAAGTGGAGATGCACACTCGAAAAACGTGAAAAAAATTAGCTAATTTTTCGTCCGAGCCTTGCTGTTCTGCTATCCATGGTCACTCCCTCTTCAGTCATACCTCATTTTAAGCGTTTTTTCTTTGCGAATCCAAAACTGCCCTTGGAAATGAGATCCGAGGCACCAGAAAGGCTGTGGAGCTGATTTAGTGAAAGCACAACATTTTCTCAAGGAACATTTTTCAGGAAAAAATGGCTATTTTCAACGCCATAAAGAGGACTGTTAGACAACTCGTATCAGAGCTCCCAAGGCGTCATTCTACTCAGAAAAATGTCCTCTTTCGATAGAAAAAATAAAAAGTTTGGGTATTTGCATCCTTCACCTACTAAATTCGGTTTTATTGAAAAAAGAGCACTTTTGGAGGATTCGGCTTGCGTCGGACTGAGCCCCAGCCAACAGATTACGTACTGCGAGTTCGCCCTGGACCACCAGGACATGCAACCAGCATGTGTTTCGGAAAATATTGGTTAACCGCCGTCTTATGCACCCTTCGGAACCGCCCCGCCCCGCCCTGCCCCGCCCCGCCCCGGGTGCGGGGCTCTCTCTCTCTTTTCCAGTCTTGAGCGCCTGTGGAGCAGAGGGTAGGCTATGCACCCTTCGGAACCGCCCCACCCCGCCCCGCCCCGCCCCGCCCCACCTCGCCCCACCCCGCCCCGCCCCGCCCCGGATACTTTTAATTAGCTGGCCAAGGAAAGTATCTTCTTGGTATGCCTTCAGATTAATGCCAAAATGCCGTTAAAGCGTGCTGTCAAGTCTGCGGAAAAGCATAAAGAAAAAGTATCTCCTTTAACTATAGCTTAATAAAAGAATCTTCTTTAACACTACTACCCTCAATCTTCAATGTTATTGACTATGGTATGCCTTCAGATTAACTCTAAAATGCCGTTGAAGCGTGCTGTCAAATCTGCTGGGACTGACGTCAGAAAACTCAAACTTGTTTTTGTACCCAAATGCTGACTGAAACGCCTGAAACAACCCTTACCCTGCCGTGCAACAATAACTAACAACAACAACACCCACCCCCACGTGTAGATATCACGGCGAGGTGGCGGGGTGTAGTACTGGTCCGATCGCCCAGAGCGCGCTGCCTGTCCCACTCTTCCGGGGCAAGGTCGGCCACCCTGTCATCACTAGTGCGTTGCAGGTCTGCTTGTTGTTGGCCTACCTGACAGGCGCTAGGGTCCCCTGACCTTAGAAAAGCAACCCGGAAACTTGCTTTGAGCCGAAAACACCTAAGAGAGCGCCCAGTGTGGTATCGAGTTCGGCCGTCACTACAATTAGGTGAAATACGTGGTTGCAGGGGTTCACGAAAATGACTCGTTCTCGGGAACGAAGCCGAACACATTTTTTGGTTAACATTTTCGTTTAGGGAAGGGTTTAAGCTATCTTTTAAGCCCAGATTGGTCAAAATCGGTTGAGGATCTAGGAAATGGCGCTAATTTGAAAACTTCACTAAAGTTTTAAACTTATAAAAAGTTTTTGGACATTAAAACTTCAAAGACAAAAAAGATTCAGTTTTTCATCCCCTTTCCAAATCTGGTCTCGGATTGGACCTACGACCAATGGTTGCTGAGATATTGCCCTCCAAAGTTGCGTTGTTCCGATATTCAGCAAAAAAGTAAATTGGCCATAGCCCAGCCCCTGGGGGGCCGGACCCCAAACCAAGTACCGATTATTTCATGGGACCATAGGGGTAACAAACCCTGAAAACGAGAACCGGATCGGAGCCCATGGTGGCTAAGGCCTGGTTGACTTCACATGGAATGTCCCAGGTGCTAAAGCCTGGAAAAGAGAGAGAGCCCCGTCGCCGCGCCCGGGGCGGGGCGGGGCGGGGTGGGGCGAGGTGGGGCGGGGCGGGGCGGGGCGGGGTGGGAGTCGGGATGTTTGTTGCTCCAGGTGTCTCTGCACCTGGAGTTGACACCCGGCTGAGCGAGCTCAGATGATCGGGATCACCTCACGCACTTCCCTAACTAGGGGATGGTAACTAAATTCAAATAGCTTGTATGAAAGTCACTAAACCATAAGCACTTACTAGAGGTCTATGCCTCTTGAGGGCCGGAACTCGTCTGTCCGCTCGGCGCCCGCTCTGGTCAGACTCGCGCTGCCCAGGGCGTCGCGCCGAGCGGCGATCGGATGTCATCGCGGCTTCCTCTCCAGTGCCCGCGGGATTCAAACCTCCGCGGTTCCCCGACATCCCCCCGGTTGGAAAGAATATCGTCTCGATGTTAAAAACGGCACTGGAGACGAAGTCGCGATGCCTTTGAATTTAATTAGCATTTACGTTTACCTAAACTATCGCAAAAAGTTTGAGTTATTTTGACTAAGTGCTTGTGGTTTAGTTTCTGTTTATTGTATTAAAATCATCATCAGTGGTTGCACTATACAAACTTCAATTTAAAAGTCTTAAATGATAACTTCTATTTGATGGCATCACAACACTGCAATTTCTGACCTGGATTGACATTGGTTCAGCCTACTCTCTCCCCCCCTTTCTCTTGACGACCGTCTCGGCGTTGAATCTTGGTCTTGAGGGCTGAGTGAAGACTCGATGCTCGCAGTCCTTGGTCTGAAATCAGCTGCACCGGGGTTGATTCTTCTTCCCGGTGTGTAGTACGTCCGGGCCAGTGCCTCCAGAGGAGCCCATGGCTTCCTGTGGGGCAGAGCTGTGATGGCGCGCCAAACACCTTCCATACACAAACTCCCAACCACGACTCTTCCTCGCTATGCGACTGGAGTGTGTGTTGTCTGGACTTGTTGCCCGTTCTTGAGGTCCTCCTTTGGCTGAGACGATATTAATCGTTTTATTAAACAATTTGTTTGTTTAAAGCCTTGGTAAAAGGATGGAAGACCGGGGCCCCTGCAATGCAATGTCCCCTGGCTAGGGTCCGCAAAGCGTTCCCGTCCGGCCGCCTCCACTTAGGACTTGGCATGGGGCAGTCTTACAGACTGTGCGCCTCCTTATAGGACTTGACAACAATTGCGCATTGCTGGTTGGACAATGGTTGGTGTGGGCCGAAGTTGGAGGAAGATTGCAAACTTTCACCTTTGTCAACCCAGAACCAGAACTGCTTTTAGTCTACTTGAAATTTTTGTATACAAAACAAAATACGAACTGTCTTAATTTGTGCTGCCTTAACTGAAAGCTAACCACTCTTTGTGACCAAATATAACACACGAAAATGATAGTAAATTAACTACGTTATTACGAATTGCTAGAAATAATTCCATAACTCAGAATCATCTAAATCTACAATCTACGTCTACGAATAAATGAATTTCTAATACAAAAGAAATTAAAAATTAAAAAAAAATTATGACATTACATTCTCAAAGTGCTGTAGTTTGCACAGGAGCCGCCGCTACTTTCCTTAAAAAACGACGCACGGGTGGTGTTTGTACTAAAACGTAAGGGTCTACGTTTTCCACATCGGTATTATCTGGTTGCTTCTTTCGAACGCAAGATGCTAAACATTGACAACATTTGAACAATTTTGTACAAATACCACATTTGTCCTGTAGATACAATGATGACAATACCAAACCTAAAAAGAATAGTGCCAGCCACATTATTATTTCAAGTTTTCCACCGTTAAATAGTGGCAATTTTTTCCATTCTTTTAATTCAACTGGCTGCACTGTGGCACATTCCAATTCAGGCATTGTAAAATTTGTATTAATTTTTGTCGCTACTACCGCTTTTGGATGAAACAAATCTAAGGACCGAAAATTGTCCGTAGCCCACTCTGTTTCAATGTGTATCTGAGATACACCGCTAGGAACATTGCAGATAGGATTAGAATGAACAAGAATTTCTCTTGAGTGTGATGCCTCCTGAAGTGTGCATTCACACGGCAAGCCTACCTCTACTCGCCCATTACTTGTGGGTGGTATTGATTTTACTAGTTTACTTGCACAAATTACATTAATTGATGTGGCC